CACCGCTCCACTCACTACCTACGCCTTTGGGCCCTGCCAACAACAATTCGAGCGCGGCAATAAGCAACAGCGACAGCAAGCCGAGGTGTGTGAGAGGTCGAAAAAGAAGGACTGCCTTGCTGTGTACGCCCACCCCAGAAACAAGTCGGACATTTCGCCTGTCGGGTCATGACAATTGGATAGTCGCTGGAGCCAAATACGTAAGGTACCGCAAGTACCTGACGCGACCTAAGGCTTCCCAGCGCTCCGCATTGCGTCTCCTACGTCACCCCGCCCCCCCAATCTGGCCGCTCTGCCCGTGAGTGTGTCTGCTCTTGGCTTGTCGCCCTCACACACACGTCGTGTGCCCTGCGCCCTCCAAACCCTCTTCTTGGCTTGCCGCAACTCTTTTTAGGGGCCGCTCCCCGACCCGCCGTCGTCCACCATGGTCCGCATCATCCCTGGACGACTCAAGTCCAGCTCCTCCCTCCGCAACAGCCGCAGCAGCAGTCCTACGAGAAACAACAGCACCGGCAGCACCAACAGCAAGATGGAGCTGAGTCCAAAGGAGAATGGCTTGACCTTGAAGGTCGTCGTTATGAAGGTAAAAATAACTTTGGCATTGTAGCGCCGATGCGCGGATCCAAGCTGGGTAGCCAACACACAAGACACACGATTGCTGACGCTTGATGCATATTAGGCTCGAAATCTTGCCGCAAAAGACAGACGCGGCACATCCGACCCAGTACGAATTCGAATCCAACCCACGCGCGCTTCCGTTATCCATTGTCTAACATGAACTCTTCTAGTACCTGGTTTTGACACTCGGTGACGCCAAGGTGACCACCCACGAAGTGCCCAAGACTCTCAATCCAGAATGGAACGTCATCGAAGAACTACCAGTCAATTCGACCCAGAGCCTCCTTCTCGATGTTATATGCTGGGATAAGGACCGCTTCGGCAAGGACTACCTTGGCGAGTTCGACCTTGCTTTGGAGGAGATCTTCGCCAACGAGCAAATCGAGCAAGCCCCGAAATGGTACCCTCTGAAGAGCAAGAGACCCGGCAAGAAGACCAGCGTGGTCTCTGGCGAGGTCATGCTCCAGTTCACCCTCTTCGACCAGTCCAACACAGCCGCTTCCCGCGAACAAGTATTCGAGAAGCTCAATGCCCTGCTCAACCAGTTGCCTGCGGGCTCCCGACAAATCACACCGACCATGACCCCCCTCATCCAGCCGGTCCAGAATATGAGGGTCAGCGGAACAAACCCGTCACCTCCCCTGTCGCGCAACCAAACCGACGCCTACCAAGAAGATGACGATGACGATGATCTGGATATCGAAGATGATACTCCCGAGGACGACGATCCCAGCAAACCCGAAGTCGCCGAGAAACGCAAGCGACGCCTGAGGATCAAGGGCCTCAAGAAGAAGAGAAGAGACCAAACATACGAGTTCAATAATAGTGGAAGCGACGTTGTGGGAGTCATCTATCTTGAAGTCTTGAACATTACGGATCTACCCCCTGAGCCCAACTCGACCCGGACTACATTTGATATGGATCCTTTCGTCGTTGCGTCACTCGGCAAGAAGACGTATCGGACCAAGCGAGTGCGGCATAATCTCAACCCGGTCTTCAACGAGAAGATGATTTTCCAAGTACAGGGTCACGAGCAGACATACTCGTTCTCCTTTACCGTGATGGATCACGACAAGTACTCTGGAAATGATTTCATCGCCGACTGCTCATTACCCATCAGGGAGCTCATTGACAAGGCCCCCCAGGCAGATCCCGAAACTGGTCTGTACGACGTACCCGAACCCCATGAGTATGTCGCCCCTCAACAGCGCCGCTTCAAGAAGCTAGGAATGTCCCGTACATCATCTTCCCAAAGCTTGAGCAAGGTGCGACCTGGATTGTCGAAGAATGCAAGCAGTGCATCCACAACTACCCAGACCGGAACAACAACGCCTACGCCTCCCGCCCAGGGGTCGACTTTGAACCCTGAGTTCCTGTCTCCTGAGCAAGCCCTCGCAGGAGCCGGTGCGCAAACTGCCGAGCTTGAGGCAGACGATGCGGAATTTCACGACTTCAGCGTCGCCCTGAAGATGAAGGACGCCAAGAAGTGGGAGGCCAAGCACAACCCGGTCCTCTACATCCGCGCCAAATACGTCCCTTACCCGGCTTTGCGACAACAATTCTGGAGATCGATGCTCAAGCAATACGACACCGATGAGAGCGGCCGCATCAGCAAGATTGAGCTGACTACGATGCTTGACACCCTCGGATCAACGTTGCGCGAGTCAACCATTGATAGCTTCTTCCAGCGTTTCCCCCACAGAGCCCAAGGCGATGACATATCGGACCTGACATTCGACGAAGCTGTGATATGCTTGGAGGATCAGTTGGAGGCTAAGAGCCGCCCACAACTCAGCGTCACAGACAGAATGAAGGGTATGCTGCCGGATGCTGACAAGGTCAAGAATCTGCTCTCTGCTCAAGGCACCAGCAACGTTCCCGGCGGTCTACCGGCAGAAGGGTCTAGCTCATCCGATGGAACTCTCGACGTTCCGGAGCTCAGCACTCCTGGCGAGGAAGGTGAAATGCTCGACCGGGACGACCTGGCTGAGGACCGTGCCGGCGAGGAGCATGTGGTCGAAATCAGAGAGTGCCCCATCTGCCACCAGCCGCGCTTGAACAAGCGCAAGGATACCGACATCATCACTCACATTGCAACCTGCGCAAGCCAGGATTGGAGACAAGTCAACAACCTCGTCATGGGCGGCTTCGTCACCGCTAGCCAGGCCCAGCGCAAGTGGTACTCCAAGGTCATCACAAAGATCTCATACGGCGGTTACAAGCTGGGAGCCAACTCTGCAAATATCCTTGTGCAAGACCGAATCACTGGCCAAATCAACGAGGAGAAGATGAGCGTCTACGTCAGACTAGGCATTCGCCTGTTGTACAAGGGACTGAAGTCGAGCAACATGGAGACCAAGCGAAGTAAGTTTCTGATGCAGGTAGTTCACGAGAAGCTCGACTGACAATGCTGTTTTAGTTCGCAAGATGCTCAAGAGCATGAGTGTCAAGCAGGGCAAGAAGTTTGATGATCCGGCTTCTAAGGCTGAGATCCCCAAATTTATCGAGTTCCACCGCCTCGACATGTCTGAGGTGCTCCTTCCAACAGAAGAGTTCAAGAACTTCAATGAGTTCTTCTACAGAGCTTTGAAACCCGAAGCTCGCCCTTGCTCGGCCCCTGACCGTCCTGACGTTGTCGTGTCTCCCGCCGACTGTCGCAGCGTTGTCTTCAACAGTGTGAACCAGGCGACCCAGGTTTGGATCAAGGGCCGCGAGTTCTCCATCAAGCGCTTGCTTGGTGATGCTTATCCCGAAGACGTGAAGCGGTTCGAGAATGGCGCTCTTGGTATCTTCCGTTTGGCGCCCCAGGATTACCATCGCTTCCACATCCCTGTGGATGGTGTTTTGGGCAAGCCCAAGACGATTGCGGGAGAATATTACACGGTGAACCCCATGGCCATCCGTTCCGCTCTCGATGTCTACGGCGAAAACGTCCGAGTTCTCTGCCCAATCGATAGCCCGACTCACGGCCGCGTCATGGTCATCTGTGTTGGTGCCATGATGGTTGGCAGTACTGTGATTACGCAGAAGGAGGGCGCGCAAGTGAATCGTGCCGATGAACTCGGCTACTTCAAATTTGGTGGCAGCACGATCGTATTGCTATTCGAGCCGGGCAAGATGAAGTTCGATGACGACCTGACTGACAACTCCAACGGGGCTCTCGAGACCCTAGTAAGTTATATCTCAAAAGCCCCCCTTATCGAAAGTAGCTGCTGACATTATTTGTAGGTTCGCGTAGGCATGTCTGTCGGACACGCCCCCGACCAGCCTCAGTGGGAACCCGACATGCGAAAGGACGCAAAGGACGTCACCGATGCCGAGAAGAAGGACGCCAAACGCCGTATTGGAGGCAGCCTCGGCAGCGAAGAGTCATCCAGTGGCGAAGATACACCGAACGCCAGCGCCGGCATCACCACGCACGCTGCGTCGGCCATGTAGAGTCGCCGTCTTCGCGTTGCGTGTGAGCGGTTCGGGCGCCATGTGCGTTTTGCCAGCGGTTCCGAATACGAGTACCTATCAGTGACTGGAAGATAGAGGAGCAAGAAGAGGTAGACAACAAAACGGTGTTGTGGAAGAACTGGGCGATTTCCTCGCCCTTCGCATGAGCCGCGTCGAGCTTGTCTCCTGTCGTTTCGCTTCTGCGACGTTGGTGGCTTTCAACAGACACACGACATGGCTGAATGCGACAGTAGTACAGCGATTGCAGCGATTACGGCACCGAGCATAAGGGCACGGGATGTGGGAGAGCACACACATGATTGGATCAGAGGCAACACTTTTTTACGAAATACAGAATACAGAAAACGAGAGTAGGGGAGAGTCTAGGGTGCGGGGAGGGCCTTGCTTGGCGAGGTGGGGGATCAGCAATGTCGCTCGCTCGCTTTGAATGAATGCAGCAACATGTCAGTTTTCTGTAAAACGGGCCCCCTGGTTCATGATGAAGCCAAATGTGATGTGGTGACCAATGAATTGATGCGTTGAGGTCCAAAAGGGAAAGTTTCCTACCTGCAGTGAGGCCCCAGATGAGTGCATGTCCCCACGATGTATGGAAGGGTGCAACAGCGTTGATTGAGACTCTGCGAGGTTGGGCGCCATGCTGGAGATGATGGACTACACGAATCGCGTAGGGAACGAGCATAGCATGGGACCAAAATCATTTCATGACTTTCTTCTAGAAGGACCGGCTAGAGTCTAAGTAAGGGGAGAGTTGTTCATGGCATTGATGAAGTTAGGATGGAGAATGTGGAGGGGGTTGGTTCCTATTATTAGGCATTGACGAGGTTGAGAGTTTGACTGGGGGTTTAATTGATTTTTATTTTTTTTTGCTCGTCATTCGCGAATGGCCCTCATCCCTTTTTTTTTCCCCTTCCTGGTCAGGTCTTTTATTCAAGGATGATACTAGTGTGATCCGTTAGGAGAAGTTTTTGGAGGTTCCATGTGATGTTGCCGTGTGCCGACATGGGGATGCCTGGTTGGCTGAGTTGGCCCCTTTTTCTTGGGAGTGTCAGTGGGAAGGGAAGTTGGGAGTCGCGGTTGTGTGTGTGTGTTTGTGTTAGGTCGAGTGGTGGAGTGGAGTGGGGTAGAGTGAGTGAGTGAGTGATGAGACGGTGGTGATGATGGGTGATGAATGATGGGTGGCGGCTGAACCGTTGTATGAGAGGGGATGAGGTCGGAACGGTAGAAGAGAGTGAGGATGTTTGGTGAAGCTGTGAGAATGACGCGAGGGGTGGGGCACCACCGAAGTGAGTGAGTGAGTGAGTGAGTCGGTGAGGAGGGGTGCGTGTGGTGCAGGTGGAGGAGGGACTAAGTCGGAGGGTGGGGGAGCAGCAGAGCAGCATCGTCGACGGTTTTATGGCGGTTTACTTTTCATTTGATGAGGAATCTTGTTTATTGCCTTGAGGGAGCTTCAACGCATTCGGATTAAGTAGACTTGCTAGCCTTTTTCTTTTTGCTTCTTTTTGTTCTGTCATCTTTTGGCATAAATCTGTAGGGGTTTGAGAGAGGGGGTGCAGTGCTCTGGAATAGTTCTTCTCTTTAATGATGGATGGGAAGGAGAACTGCAGAATGGTCAAGTGACAGCGCAACTCCCACAATCTCGTGACCGCGGGTTTTCCCAACTTTTATTTACAATCTCTTTCCCGAGTGATGATATCTCGCAATATGTGTATGTGAGGAAATAGTGTAGTATAAAAGTGTGGTAAACAACGACCTTGGGAGAAGGAAGTGGAAGACGCGCCCAAATGGTGTTGATGTACGGTGAGACTTGGTTACTTGGGACATTGAACGATGACCAAAGACTTTATGGATTAGCCATCCATCGGTACATGGTTGACGACTGGCCCCCCGGTCCGGACAGAGCGACGGCAAGGTCACGGATGAACCGAGTCGGACGCGGGACCCGGTCTACGGAGCCCCTGACCCTCGGGAACGGCGACCGTGCACGGTGACGAAATTGAGAGGAGGGTAAGTGGGATGCTGGATGATCGTTAAAGCGAGAGAGAGGAACCCCAAACCACCCCCTTCTTCCATTATTACGAAGGTCCTCCGACGAGATCACGGTGAACAGCTTGACGCGCACGACGCGGTGCGGCGTAGTCACGTCAAGCAGAGACGAATATCATCATGCTCATCAGTGGAGGGGCCCCTCCCGAGTCGTCCCTGGTGTCTGATGTTCAGTCTCAATTCCAATGCAGGTCCGGTCCTCCACCAAGGTAAACCAAAGTGGATTCCCGCCTCTCTCTCTCCCTCGATCTTCCTCTCTCGCCCAGTCATTCGTTCTGGTGTTGGTCTCGCGTGAACTAGGGTGATGGAATTTCCCGTGAGCTTTTCCCAAGTTTTTCCACCCCCTCGTTGCGTCATGGTGGGGCCAGGTCGACAGCGGTCTACTGTGTACTGACTCTACTCTTGAGCTACGATTGTTCCTGGTTTCGGAGTCCGGACTCTTGAAGGGTTGGTTGGAGATGCACTCAATGTATGGCTCATGTGGGGTAAGTTACCCCCCAAATCGCTCATAGCCTCATACGCAGGACTCCGTACTGATGGTACGCGATAATAATGTACGTAGGCAGTAAGGGGGGGGCTCCGTCCGACGATCACTGATTGATAACAGAGAAGTGCCGGTTCGGAAAGGGAGAGGGGGGTTCGAGAAGAGTCGGTGTCGGAAGTCGGATGTGGACCTACACGTGTATGAACGGAGTATGGTCCATGGAAGGGGCTGGAGTTGGTTAGGAGGAAACTTGGCACGTGAAGAGGGTCATTCGGTTGTAGACGGGGCATTTTAGACAATTTGTGATGACATTGGACCGACTTTGTGAGTACAATGTTTCAATCACAGTTGCCAAGAATAGCCATGGTGGCTCAGAAAGAAGTTGATGTGAACAATTTATTTGGGGGTATCTATTCCATACACGGGAGCCAGTGTTGGAGGCTCTGCTAAAGAAGAACAAGAAAAAAAAAGATACAAAATGCAAGGCAAGCAGACGCAGGTAGAGAGTCGGAGGGGTGGAGGGGGCAAAGCAAAAGATGGAGACGAATGTCGTAGCTTTGCATGTCTCTCGAACGATATTCTTCCCCCTTCCCCTTCACATCCCACCTTCCTCCGCGTGCCCCGCCGGCGATACAATCATGGAGGGGGGCTCTTCACTCCCTTCCCCTGCCTGCTGATGGTACGAACAGCAACTTGTAAAGAGGAATTGGTACGAAGCCGAGAGTACAAAAGAGACAAGAAAAGTGGGCTTGATGTGATGCCCGACCCTGATGGCGTGACGGACGAAACCTTTTCGGATTTACGTCCCTTTCCTCCCAACCCCACCCAAAAACTGCCGGAATTTGGCGTGAATGTTTGATTGATTGTGTTGTGTGCGCCGTAAACTCCCCGATGCTGTAAATCCGAAAAACTCTCAATCGAACGAAGGTAGAATTGAGCGTTTGGCTGGTGGTTCTCTGTAAAAGTCCCGCTGTTGATAAGGCACCCGAACGCGAAAGCGACCGAGTCAGCGGCGCCGGTTGGAGGTAACGTCGGCACGGTGGGGTGGACTTGAGCTCGCATGCTGCAAGTCCAGCTTCGAAAGATTGATGTTGTTGTTTTTGAATTCCAATGTCCTTGACGCCTTTCCGGTTTCCATGACTATCGTAAATGCGTACATGCAGGTAGCCCAGTATCCCAAGTTCAGATGATGTGTTACTTGGTCCAACTAGATAAGAGTGGTTGTGGAGAGCTCTATAAACACCCCAAGCTGAAGCTCAAAGCTTCATGCTCAGGGTCCAAGAGCCGACCGAGATGCGTACAGTCGCCATCTATTTGGGTCCGCGCCACGAGGAGGCAGACGGTGATCGAGACATGGGAACGGTGGTCTCGCTGCGGTCGCTGTCCATGGAGCGCTTCTCAGGAGAAGGGCTGCGAGGGAAGTAGGAGGTCATGCTGGGGGCGTGGACGCCGGGGGAGGGCAGATCGGAAGGCGAACGGCGGGTTTCGCGCCATGAGGCGTAGATAGACTTGCACAGGTGTGCGGACATGGTGTATGTGGGCGACATTTTGGAGTTGGTGTGTGAGGTTGTCGTGTAACAAGACTTGTTTGTAGGTTGTAGGATGTGAAGAGACGGAGAAGCTCTCAGGTAGTTGTAGAGAGGTGGTCGCGTGCTTTGTATAAGAGGTATAGTGAGGCTGAGAGCAAGTTGGATGTGGAGTTATCGACACGCGGCTCTGGTGGCAGAGGCAGAGCAGGATGGTGGTAATAGGGCTTGATCGGTTATTATTAGAATCCTTGAAAGGGAGAATGGGAAACAAGATGATAGAAGGCAGGCTATGAGGGGGAGCAGACGGGCTGCATTATATTTGGGCTGGAAGTCATGGGCAAAAAGACGAACTGCGCGGTAGGCGTGGATGGTGGGCGTGGCACCAGACCAGGCACCAGGGGGACCCTTTTTTTTTTCGCTTTCCCCTTCTTCCACTTTCTCCTTCTGACTTGTACCACAGTAGGACGATTTGTACGAATGCCACAGGTAGGTACTGCGTACATTTGTGATGTATCTTTACGGCGCGCGCGCTCCTATCTGTCAACTTGGACCCAAATCGGCGGACGGGGGGGCACGAAACATGCGATTTGGCGTCAAAAGATGCAGAAAACGGACGAGGGCGGGCATGGGGAGATTGAGTGTGACTCGCTGCGCAGAGGGAACCACCCACTAACAAGGCCCGGCGAGTTCCCTTCACACCCCTTCCTGGTGGGACGAGCAGGCAACGCAGGCTGGCAGCACCTTCAACCCTTCAACACCCCCCACTGCCCAAGAGGATAGCCGCCACAGTCAAGATTCACCAATGAAGAGCTCAGAAGAGTGAGATTGATGGCTTCTAGCCAATGGACGCTGAGGCAAAGTAAGCAGACGGGAGAATCTGGTGCAATCTGACGGGAGGAAGGTGGGAGTGAAAACGTACGATTCGAGGCCTGTGGCTGTGCTAAATCATCATACGGACGGGTGGGCGTTGGTGGTCCGGAACTTGAAAGGGCGGACGGGTCCCTGTGGACGCACGAAGTACTCCGTACCTACACATGTATCCCGTAAGGTAGGCTGGGCTGACCATTTTTAGCCACGGCACATCATCTGGTTCGTCGGCCTGGCCCTTGAACTTTGAAAGGCCCCCCATCTAGATCCAGAAGAGCTTGCCAGCGGAAAGAAAGAAAGTGTGACTGGATATGGCTGGATGCCGTTGTTGGTCCTTTTGGCGGGGGTTTAGTACTTAGTTCGACGTTGGGTACGAGGTACGGAGTATGCGTGGGATAATGATCTGTTTGTTAGCTGTTGATGGATATTGAAGAGCGTTGGTATCTCACCAGGGTGAGGTCTTGTCCACTTCCAAACTGCTCACTTTGGGACATTGCCATTTCGGCCATCGCAAGATACACGACGACATCTTACTTCAAGAGGATAATCCAGCAAGACTGACGACGGAGAGAGGGGCAGATTCGTTTTGACTCTTACCACAATACGTCACTGCTTGCGTGCTAGGGATGGGGAATGAGCAAGCAAGACTGACACCAGCCACAACAGGTACCTACGCACAACTACGCAGTATACCAGGATCTTCATGATTGGCCAGGGTTCACGACCAAGGCAGCTGCACCACGATCTACGCCTGCCACGGTCAATAACGGTCCACCCGTGACCGAACCGACCCTCGCAAGGCAGAGGCAAGAGATCCCGAAGTGGTTGCCGGGACTTAGTCAGGTATCCGTTTACCGTACGGTACTACTCCGTATGGGCAGTACATAGGCCATCAGCTGCTACCGTACTACATGCATACTTGCCCAGGTCCAAGAGAGGCAGGCAATGGCACTGTGGATCGGCCGCTTCGGGTCGGAGCTCCTCCCGAGTCTCTGCTCCGACTTCCTTTCCCGATGGGATGCCCAAAGGAAGCGGACATCTGCCAAGTTTTGGAACTCAGGATTGGCCTTTCGGATTTCCCAGCCTAACGCCGCGCTAGGAGCTACGTGAAGGTTGCGGCAGATGAGGTACCAACAGTACTTTAGATTTCGTGAAGGGCAGAGAAACCCGCCCTGCCTTACAGGCTGGAGCTCCACGTTCCGAACCGTGGGGGCCCGAAGCTTCTGCTGCTGCCCCGCGACAGCGAGACCGACCAGCAGCCTGCAGGCCACCTTCTTCGAAACCTTAACGCTCCAGCGATGCGGTGCTCACACGACCAAGCTGCAACTCCTCCTGCTGTGCCGATTGGAGCTGCCGGAAACCATCTTCTTCTGCCTTATGGCTCGGCGCGCGCGACACTCGAAACTGTAAGATGTACCGTATGTCCGTACTTCCGGCAACCATTTCCCGCCGGTTTACCAGTTGTGGATGGGACGAGTTCGTCCCAGTCTGGGGGACTGAGGATGTGGCATGGGTTAGGTAGTGAGCTGTGGGTTTCCGATGGTTCCAGATGCTCTCTCATTCCTTTTTGGGGCTCTGGCGGCTGAGAAATGCTGACCAGCTTTGCGTTGGCTGAAATGCTGATTGTAAATCACAAAAGGGCAAAAGACGGCACGCCATTCTGTGTGGAATTGTAGAATGGTCAGCGTGTGCATATTTGTAATGTGCCTGACAAGCTGACGGTGGAAGTGGTAAGGCGATTTGCATGACTGGTCGAGGAGAAATCATCGAGTCCACTCGTTCGCTGGCTTTGCAAAATGTTCCTTTGACGTAGAGTCTTTTGGGGAAGGCGAAGAATCCCATTTGTTCAAGGTGACTGAAAAATTGACCAATTTCAAGGAGGAACATTGTTTGCCAGCTGTGGTGCGAATACCTGCTCCGGTGACTATTCTTACTCCGTGGGGTGAGCCTGCCCTACTTATTTCGATATGGAGCCAGACAAGGCAGGAACATCCGATATGGTGTAGTGGCCAACATGATGCCCTCTCATCTCAGTGAGAGGATAGGCATAGCCCCGAGTTCGATTCTCGGTTTCGGAATACTTTTGCCATTTCCAAAATTACGTCTTATTGCAGTGCGTTCTCGATTGTTCATCTTCATGTTGTCAATTCGACATTCTTTTGCCAGAATCCGTCTGGATGGTTGTTTTGGCTGATGTTGTACTGGCATTGTCCGATGCCTTCGCAGCGACCAACAAACAAAAACGTAGGGCTCGTGCGCTCTTGACAGACATCTTTGATGGCATCCAACACCAAAGATGCAATTTACGCACAGCTCTCCGCTAGGACCAACTTGTCAAAGTTAAGCAGCCGCCCGTCAGTGGTCACCTTTCCTAGCAGAGCCGTCACAGAGTTAGTCTCACTTGTCACCGCAATCCTCAGGTCTGCCGAGGCGATCGTTGGCAGATATAATATGAGACGTCAGAGCTTAACGGCCTAACAGATCCCGCAGGGCGCCCACGATGGCGCACTTCGGTCGTTTCAAAAGATGATGGCTGGCCGCTATCTCACATCTCATTCGGGGAAGCTGGCCTTCTTTCTTATTCTCTGGAGTTTTGGACGTGGTGGTTGTGTATAGCTCGCCCATCTTATTGCGAGATTGCGTCGGTGAGTCGTCAGCTGAGGGGAAGGATTTGCTTACGGCTCACCGTCCGTCCACAGACGAACCTGGGGTTGACAAAAGCCCAGCGTCTGTGAGCGCGGTGGTGTTGTGTTAGCTTCGGGCGCAAACTCACAAGCAGTTGCCCCAAATATGCGCAAGCATAGCGAATGTTAATGTGCCATTTGCCATGATTCCCAATGATCAGAGACGTTTCGTTCTGGATTCACTGATTCGTCCACTCATCATTCTCCTTTTCAACTGCGGTCGCTTTGAAGTGGAGAGTGGGCCAAACGTCCGGGGCAGTGATGGCGACGGCTGCGGTGGGCGACGGAGACAGTAGGAGATTTGAGGGTTGAGAGGGAAGCCGGCCGAGTCTATGCCATTACGACATTGGAGCGTCGCGCAAAAGTCGCACGCGCACTTGGCGTTTAATTGAATCTGGGGCTGAGAGAAAGCCCGAACGGTGCGAACGGGAGTCTCCCAACATCCCAACCTTTCCGATCGAAAGTGAAAGGGAAGGGGGTTCATCTTTAATCGACTTTAATGACCTCTGCTCGTGGACTTAATGCGCAGAGTGAGGCTGTGAGGGAAGCACGAGGTGAGGGTGGGGGGATGAATGGGCAAAATCCTATTACTCCTGGGATGAAGAGGCCAGGATGAGGCAACCTGCGTGAAGTTTGAACAGGAAAAAGCTGTTGGCTGTAACTTATAGGTGCCCGACATATGGTTCGACGGGCATTTTACGCCAGACTTTTTCTAGCGCAGCACACTCGATGCTTCTCGAGTTCTCAGCCCCCTTGAGGGAGACGTTGTTGAAACAGGCAGACCCCAGATGCGGTGGTATGGGGCTACGCCGGACGCATGAAAGTGTGAGTGGTGCCTGGCTCGCCTTCACATTTCGCGGTCTTGATGGGTCTTTTGGGACTTTGGGTTGAACGGAGAGGACCAGATGGGATGGGGGCGAGGGGGATATGCGGTAGGGATGCTTGGATCTTGGGTGAATGAGAAACCCGGGTTGACCGTTCCAGGCCTTGAATGGTTCTTTTCTTGTGGGTTGAGTGAGGGCTCCTCTGCATGAAGGATCCTGGTGGACAGGAGGATGCTTCATGAAGGGATGCCAGCTACGGGGTCCGTCGGACAGTCCCTTTTGGAAATGTTTCGATTCTAGAGCAATAATCCGTGAGAGGCTCATCCATAAGAGGCATAGATAGTAGAGTTCCAGCCACGCGTGCCGTAGGTAGTCGAAAGCCCATCGGTATGCAGGTGTCTACGCAGTAGAAGAGCCAGAGCCAGAGCCAGAAGAGAACAAGTCGGTTTCTAAAGATGGAAAATGCAGAGTGCCATGGCGGCCTCTGATTGGTCTCATCTGTAACCAGACCAGCCGTCCACCGGCAATGCTTCCCCCCTTCCTGGTTCCTTTTTATTGTGGATTTTGAGGTGCTTCAAGTCTTTCCCCCCTCCCCCCCCCTGCACCTTTAGTGTTGAGTTTGACTCTAAGGTATGCAGCCCTGGCGAACATGCGCAGAAACCGTCCCCTTGTCTGCCCCCTTCTCGGCCGTCGTTTCCTCCAAGAGACATGCCGGTAGTTGTATGTGCTTCTATGCCCTTCATGACAGTAGTAGCGAGGGCTTTACGTCTGAAACGGCAATGGGAACTGTTGGCATCCAATCGTGTCCGTCCCAACACGGCCTGAACTAATTCCACCTAATTACATGTTGCGGATACTCTCACTAACGCCGCCGCCGCCGCCGTAGCTCCCGGATCGACCTACATCGTCCCTCTCTTCTATTATGGGCTGCAAGTGTTAGTCCGCCGACGCCTCTTGATTACCCTTTCTGAGGGCAAGAAACATACTCAGGCGTGTTGGTCAAAGTCCCATCGGTGAGTTGCAATGTTGGCAAGCCAAGCCAGCATTGACCGAGATTCGGATTTCCTTCGTCTCTCAAACGTCGAGAAACAAAGACATTGTCAGACACGGCCGGCACTAGACAAGACACGTCAAAGTGATCAATGCTTTCTTCTCTGTCTCTTCTTCGTCTGTTCTACCCATTCTCCTCTTGGTCCCAGATGATCGGATCCTCTAGCTTTGCCCTCGACTCACACTATGACCCGTGAGCTCATCAAAGCTCAGCCACCCCTATTGCCAATTACCCAGCACGGTCAACGATATGGCTCTGCGGGCTTTGCTTTCTCTACTTTTTTCTCTCTTGTCATCCAATCTACGAACTGTCTGGAGAAGAGGGAATATGGCTGAGTCGCTCACCACGCGCGAGGGCTGCCATCTCATCTTGCATCTCAAAGCATCTGCATCCAACATCCCTGGTTGCTCTCGTCATGCTCCGACGTCGTCACCCCTCCATCTTCGGGCATTATACAGCCCCATGTCACATCTCCCTCGAGTCTCCCCCTCACCCATCCACACACCGTGACCCATCCCACTAGTCGTCCTCGACTTGCGCTGCGGCTCATCCTTCCGCATCAGAATAGAGGCCTGAGAAGTCTCAAATCCCTTCCTACGCCCAAGGGAAACAAGGTCCCTCCCCTGCTCATGATCTGCCCATGCCTTTAGTCCAATAATCGGTCACCACTCTTCCTCCACCTACGCTTCTGTGCCCTTCCTTGTCAGGGCGCCGCCTCTCCCGCACCAGGCCCGCCGTCCGAGTCTGAGAGGTCGGACGGACAAGAGAAGGAGAGTAAAGAGAGGCTAAGAAAGAGTCCTCTGACATATACAAGACGATCGCAAACCCTGGCGCTCGGCCATGGATGCCTTTTTCCCTTCCTCCTTCCGCCCCCTTCACCAAACGTGTCAGTTGCACGTCACTCTAAAACTCTATTCTGTTTTGTCTTTACTGTTCTAGACGAGACGAAAAGAAAGCTGCTGCAAAAGAACCAGGCCTACACTCTTTCGATCTTCCTTCTGTTGCTGCTGCTGCTGACGCCTCTGCCTCATCCCGCATTGACCGGCCTCTACTAACTATACTATACTACACCTTATCCATATTGGCAATACCTTCAATCATCCTTCTTCTTCATTCTTCTTTTTTAATCTCTTCATGTCCATGTGCCGCGCGAACGACTCTGCGCTGCCGTCCTCCACGAGGTCATGGAAGTTGTAATTCCACCCAGAGATCATGGGCCGTCCTACAGATATGTATGGGACGACGAAGGGCAGGTCGAGAGGATAGAAAGGTTGGACCATTCCAGCACACCCTCTTTACAGAATCTTTAGAGTTAAGTTTGTGCAGTCAACTAACATAACTCCCTCAACGCAGAGTCCGCTTTCAAGACAACAATGAACAGAGAGATAGTACAGTGAGCAGGCAAACGGTGCAATGGCCTTTTCTCCGTCACCAGAGCTCCGCTTCCGATGTCGCCTCGTCGAGGCCTTTTACTGGCTTCACGGGGAGCTTCCCGGACCCGCAAAGTTTTCCACCAAAAGAACCAAAAGAACCGACACGAAGAGCGACGTGGGCGCCGGGGAAGCGCAACTCGACGGCTACAATTCTGGAAAATATCGTCCCGGATTACATCATCAACTACATCAGGGGAGAGACGCCCGAGACCATGGCGCAGCGGAGAGAGGAACGCAAGAGGCAGACGGAGAGCCCAGACACATTGGAGGCACAGGCCGCCGCGGCGAATCACGCGGCCGCGCAAGGATTTTACGACGAGGCGACCACGGATCGACCGTCGACAGGCGAGAACGAGATTGGGGATCTCGAACGGATGCTGCCGCCGGCGGACGAGAAGCGCGGGGGCGGAGGGACCTTAAGCAGGATGAAGTCGGGCTGGAGGGCCGGCATCGCGTTGAACATCATCATCGGCTTCGCCATCCTCATCGTCGCCATCGTGTGCCTCGTCCTCGCGCTCGTCGTCGTCGGCATGATCAGGGGCGAGAGCATCATCTTCAAGGGCTCCTGCGCGACGGCCGAACAGCTCAAGATTGGCCTCTTTGTCGCCATCAACGTCATCACCATTGTGCTGCTGTCAGCGGCCAACTACGTCTTCCAGGTCCTGAGCAGTCCCACGCGCATCGAGATTGAGATGGCGCACGACGGGAGGCGGTGGCTCGACCTCGGGATCCCTTCTTTTAGAAACCTGCGTTTCGTCTCGAAACCGCGGGTTGTCATGACAGTCATCATTATGCTGGCGGCCGTCAGTACCCAAGTAATGTATGCGCGCGCTGCTGCTGTTACTGCTGAAAGCATGCTTCCCTTCATCAGACCTGACAGGCGTTGACTTTTTCACTAGTTATAATGCCGTAATCTTTTCGACACAACCTGGCTACGCCCACCAGGTCGTCTTTGTCACACAAGAGTTCCTTGCCTCGGGCCAGTTCAGCAACGCCTCAGAAACGAACGCCGGCGGTCTCTCCAGAGGCGATATTCTCGACCTCCAAGACCTAGCGTCCCGAAAGCAGCTCACCAACTTCACAAACGCGGAGTGCGCAAGTCAATTCGGCGGCGTCTACCAAAGCGACTTCACAGCCGTCGTCCTCGTCACGGATGTCATCGCTCCCAGCAACGCCCTCGTCCAGACCCAAAAGTCCGGATCCTCCCTCGCCCCCTTCATCGTCAACCCGTCCAACCCCACGCAGATCAAGATCAACAGCTCTTCGGTCGATTACTGCCTCGCCCGCCCCGAGGACCGCAACCCCTGCACCGTCGTCCTCAACGGCTCCCTCCTCGGCGTCATCGCCATCCTCAACCTCGTCTCCGTCTCCGCCATCGGCGCCGTCTACTTCTTCACCGGCTTCGAGCCCCTCGTCACCCTCGGCGACGCCCTCGCCTCCTTCATCTCCCAGCCCGACCACACCACCCGCGGCATCTGCCTCCTCGACAAGACGGACGTCAAACAGGGCCGCTGGGGCTACCGCGAGGCCAAGTACTGGACCTCGCGCGACCACTTCTGGTTCCAGACACCCGGTTTGACCCTCTGGACCTTTTGGCTCATCACCTGGGCCACGCCAGCCGCCCTCGCCGCCGCCGCCCTCGCCGTCTCCCTCGGCAAAGACCCGTCCTCCTCCCTCGGCGCCTTCGGCAGCGCCCGCCCCCGCGAGCTCTACCCCCTCCCCAACGGCGGCGCCCGCGCCGGAGTAGCCATCGTCGCCGCCCTCCCCCACCTCCTCCTCGCCGCCCTCTACCTCTCCACAAACGCCCTCCTCTCCTCCTACTACCTCTCCCACGAGCTGAGCCAGTACGCCCTCCCGGGCATCTCCCTCCCGCTCCGCGTCAGCTCAGGCCGGCCCCGCGGCACCCAGACGACAAGCCTCTACCTCACCCTGCCCCGCCCCCTATCCTGGCTCCTCCTCGCCTTATTCGCGGCGCTCGGCCTCGTCCTGAGCAACGCCGTGCCCATGGTGTCCGTCGACATGCGACCCGCCACCCGCGACGACAACTTCCCCATGCCCATCAACGGCGTCGGCTTCAGCGGCGTGGGCCTGCTCGCGTTCCTGGCGCTGCTGGTCGTCGTCGCGGCGCTGGTGCTGGGCCTCGGTCTCCGGCGCGCGGACCCGTCGCCCACGAGCGTCGACGGGGAGAAGGCGGGCAACCCGCTCGTGCTGCAGGGCGGCGGGTGTTCCGCCGTGATTACCGCGCGGTGTCACCGCCCGCCGAGCGACGTCGGCGCCGCGTATAGCAACCTCGCGTGGGGCGTCGTCGATCAGGATCCCGAGACTACGTTTGGGCACGCTACGTTCTCGAGTCAGGGCGTGAGCGTCTTGGATCCTGCCAAGGGGTATGCTTGATCTTGGTCGCTTCGTTGGGTCACCTCAGTGTTTGCATATTGTTTCTTATTCCATTTCCCGTTCAGCTGTACATATTTTCTCTTTCGGGTTCTACAGTACCCCTTTTGTCATGAGTCGGGGTCACGAGTGCTCTCTGCTGGTTTCTTGTTTCGAAAAAAAGTTTCTGCATCTGGGAAAGGCATTGTAATGGTGTTAATTGGGGAAGTGTGTGTGTATGTATTATTGTTTTAAGCAAGGTCGGAGGGCAAAGTTGGTCTGGCTTGGTAGTCAAGGACTTGAGAAACGGCATAGAGATGGGAAACGAAATGGATGATGACGATTGGTGTCGTTCCCTTCGGCCAAATGGATGAACGGGACGGGACTGGACTGGACTGGACTGGACAGTCGTAGGGGAACGGTTATTGTAGTACGTTTATACCCTAGTGTTTTGCTTTGGCTGGTCAGGGGAACCAGGGACACGAGAAATACAGAGGAATAAAGCCTCTCTGGATGAGGCTTGAGTTGAATTCAAGAAGTCTTTGGGACACAGTTTGGGCGTGTCACGATGTTGATATGTGAATATATTCCCCTCCATGTGGGAACTCGTCTCGATATACCCCTCAAAGACAAAGTTGCTCTGTTCCAGTCGCCCTTCCGCCCGCTTCGGAGCCCCTTTTATTAGGCTCTGTTTTGTTGGATAATTCCTATGTGATACACTGAGTGTAACAAGTCGTAAGCAACTTCTTAGAATCGATTTCATCATATACCAAGGCAATCATTCGTGACAGGGGCAATAAGTTGAAGTGGCAAGACATTGTATCCTTGATCTGTATCTGTATCTATATCTAACGATATGGAAGATAGTTTATCGACCTCTCTTTACATTGCCACATCTCTAATCCAAACAAAACCCTATAACCCGAGCCAACGCCAGAGTATCCAAATCATTATCTCTCAAAGCAAATTCGCACGCTATGCACCAGGTCGTCTTCAAATACAAAAAGACTTGACGATAAAACAAAGGGAAGACAATCGAGTCTGACACGGCGCCTAAGCAAAGACGGGAGCAATGTTGGCCTTCTCGATACTGGGCGTGGCAACGCTGAACACCTCGGGCCACAGGAACATCTTCTCCTCGGCAGGCGTGATGGCGACGAGCTTGGGGATCGCCGACTTGCTCGACATGCGTCTCCACATGTTGGCGCGCGGGTTGAATGCGGCGGGCATACCCTTTCCGCCCGTCTTCTTGTCGTCCTCGTCGCGGATGCGCTGGATCTCGGTCTGGATATCGGCAAAGGTGTCAAAGGGGATGTAGGCAATGGAGTTCTCGACGCAGTACTCCTCCAGACGCAGGCCGCGGCGCGCAAACAGCACGTCGGCCTGGCGCGCGGCAGGCAGATCGGAGACGCCGTCACCGATGAAGACGATGAGGGGGATGGTGCCGTCCTCGCACGCCATTTCGGCCTGCTCGCGGGCCTCGCCCATGGAGAGCGCCTTGTCATGGCCGAGCTCGTTGTCGTGGCGCCAGATGGGCTTCCAGGCAGAGCCGTCGTCGGTGATCTCGGCCTCGTTGGCAACGATGTCAATGTGTGCCGAGGCGTCCTCGCCGAGGAATGTGTCGAGGACGCGGCGGAGGATGGGCTTGAGGCCGGCGGAGATGACGTTGAAGGGGATCTCGTTGGCGATGCAGTACTTGTGGAACTCCTGGAAGGCCGGGTCGATCTCCAGCTTCTTCTCCATCACCTCGAAGCCGTCGTCAAAGGGGACGTTGAGGGATCCCCACATCTCCTCGGATACGTCGCGGAAGGAGCGCTCGCCGGACTTGATTTGCTCGTCGAGGATCTCGCGCTGCTCGGAGCCGCAGCCGTGGGCGTCGAAGAGGATATGGCCGGTGTCCTGCATGAAGATTGTTCCGTCAAAGTCTGGAGGATTCGTTGTCAGCAAGTGGCGAGATCCAGGGGTGAATGGAGGTGATCTTACCTGAGAAGCAGATGATCTTGCGCTTCTTGTTTTGCGAAGCAGGCAGGCCAGACTCGGCGGCGGCCTTGACTGTTGAGGGAGAGATGGCGATAGGCATTGTGGCGATTGGAAGATAGTGTATACTTTGGTTGTATCAAGATGTGGGCTTTTACTGGCACTGGAAGAGATACTTATAGTCTCGATTAGATACGCAAAAGAGGTTGGGTAGTTGGGAATTAAAGTTGTCACGACCAAGTTTCAACGGGAGGTGTCCAGCTTTAATAGAAGTCAATGCAATGCCCACATGCGATACTGCCGAACTCTCGACCGAACCGGTAACGGCAAAGAAAGGGGGGAAAGGCGCAAAGCCAGCCGGCCAGCCAAAGTATCCTCTTCACGATGACGGCCTGAATTCCGAAAGGTAGTTGGCTTTTTCTTCACACCCCTCCCCGCTACCCCCGTCCCTCCCCCGAGTCCTCCGCCAAATACGGGGCGTCAGGGCGCGCCAACCTGCATGAGCAAAGGGCTTACATGAAAGAGAAACTACCTAGGTATACCAGAACGAGGGGGTCATGGATCATGGCCGAACAAGAAGAACACTAGCCAAGGCCAGCCAGCCTTTGAGCGAGAAGGACTCCGCTCTCGTTGGGATTCTCAAAAGCCGCTTCCGGGATGCTACTGCACAATGGCAAGCGGCCGAGACGCCGACTCGGACGGCGTCAACGGGCGCACCACAGACTGCCAGTCGCCAATGGACACCACATACGATGACGGCGTCTCACAGGGCCCCAAAGGGCAAAGGCATCTGGCTTTTCCGAACTATGCCCACTTGGGACGTTCTAGCGCGAACGAGGAGCAGGGCCAGATTCGAGCAGTGTATGGAGTATGACTGGCTATTTCCTTTACCCCCCTTTCTCTCTGACTCTTGGGCTTTTTTTCAGAATTGCGGGATGGGTTGGCTGTACCTATTGCCACGCTCCCACACCCTCGCACGCGGAACGGAAGGCGGCCGGCTGTGCAATCTGACAAATGGCTGTGGGCGATGTGGCAGACAGCCACTTGGGGGCTCCAACCAGGTCTCAGAGTCTAGCAGAGCCTCTGATGATCGCCAGGAGAAAGATTTCTCCAACGAACCCGGAACGAGTCCAGTGGAATGGCAGTCCTTGGTTCGCACCTTATTGGCATTCAGCCCTCCCAAAGCCGACATTCGGAAAGGTTAAAAACAAAGTGAACAGACAAAACCGTTTCCGACTGTTCGAGACAGCCACCAGAATGGCCGAGAATGGCTGCGGAACCCGATGCTTCGGTCAGCGAAGCGTGCCCCATCAGTTCACTTGAGCAGGGGGGAAGGATCGGGAGGCGACATGATACATCCATCCGAAAAGTGAGAGAGTGTGGGAAAAAAGATAAATCAACAGAGAAAGGTGCCACCAAACAGAACATTCCAGCCCCCCCCCCCCCCAAAACCACGGTCGAAAGCCTGGCCGCATCAGTACATAGGTAGACATGGGGGAAATGGGAAATATGCCACCGAGAGCGGAGTCTAAAGCCCGTCGTCCCCACATTCACTGCGCCGAGCTGATCCAAGCAAAGCAGAAAATGTAAGGAAAGTTGGGACATGAAGATGCCAGAGAGGATGAAGGTGCTGCATTGAGGGTGCGGTAGACGGCATTGCGTCGTTCCATGATGCGTGCAAGGATACATGGTGACAAGCCCACAGTCGTTTCTTTGCCAACAGCAGAGGCATGTGGCATTTGGTTGGCGGATGGGGGAATCAACATGAGGAATTGATGGGAAAATGGTCAAATTCGAGCTACCTGCACGGTGATGTCATTCCGTCCCTCAGTGGGGCTCTTTATCGCGTTGCTTGAGGCGTAAAGTACCTTACTCCGTAGTTGCTGAGAAGAGCACCAAAAGGGCTCTAATATGCCCTGGTCCGCGTCCGACATGCAGTTTAACTGCGCTTAACCTTCAACGAGATGCGCTAGCCAAGTGACTTTTTGTCGTAACGCGATGCGACGCGATGCAGGCAAGCTTGGCCACGGTGTACGTGCCTTGGTCGTTTGGCCCCCGAGTCGTTACTAAGTTGCTGCTACACTCCAGGTCGTCTAGCCCAAGGCCCGTGGAGACGTGCATATGCATTGTGAAAGGGGCTTGAGCCTTGAGCCTTGAGGACGAGATCGAAACAATCGAGGTCGGCGATGCTGGGGCAAACGAGCGGAGCCTCCATCCTTCTCCAGTCTCCATGCTCGGAACCTGGACGTCCCCTCCATGTTCGCTGCCCTCCAATGAATCCATCCCATCTGTAGCGGCCCGGTCTGCTCATTCGTCTGGTTTCCGGTTGACTGAGGCCTCGACGAGTCCTCGCCATGCAGTTGTGCGAGGAGCATGTTCTAGCCGATCAAGGCCCATGTCCGTTTTGGCGGTGAACACAATGAGGCCTGTGCTGTACATATCAAGGTGAGCCAGGCCAGTAAGAACCTGCAATCCTTCACAAAGAGTCCTTATCGACAACTTTCCATGGCGTCAAACCCCTTGCGAGCCGTCATAAGGTAGCAGACCTTGACCGGTAGGTTACGGCTGATATCGTCAACCTATAGCAACCGATGACGTTGAAGGCGCTCTTTGCATGTGTCTGCAGAAGTGAGATGTAGTGACTGAGCATACGTAGTATGCATCGCGCAATCTGTAAACTCGACCTTCTCTGAGCCCCGCGCGTCCGTGCAAGACCCTGAGTGCGCACTTTACTTTACCCCTCCACGTCCGGCTTCGATCCACAATACTAGACCGGCGAAACAAGCGAGACAAAATTCGATGCTGTGCGATGCGAAAGATAGTGGCAACATTTTTTTTGGTATTTCGGATGTCCTGCTCATCACACCTTGATCAAACTCAATCCTTGCCGGAAAGTCTGCTCCGTCGGCCAGAACTGTTCAAAGCCCAAGTTCCACTGGACTATCCTGGCAGTAAGCCCTAATAGCAATTGCTTGCCTGTGATTTTTGTACTTCTTTGACTTTAAAAGTTGGGAGAAAGCCCTGAGTCAGGCGCATGGGGCCCCGGT